ATCCCTGCAGGCTGCAGGGTGTGAGGCTGAATGGCATTCACAGTGATAAAGTGGCAAGAAAGGGAATTATTCTAAGATGAGCAACACTTCCTTGGGAAGTGAGTAATGGGAGGAAATCTGCTCCATATACCCACCAAGCCTAGACTAGGAGCTCTGGATGTGCAACTGGGAGCCCTGGGAACCAGAGCCAGGGCATTTCTAGCCCATTTTCTCAGAACAGGTCATTGGTGATGGGGCAGAAGGAGGATGGGAAAGGAGCAGATCAGTTAGAAATCCCACAGACTCTTTAACATTCCTCCTCTGCTGCCTTTCAGCCTGTCCTGTTGGTCACTCCTCATGTTAAGATGAGGATTAATGAGGCTCTTCATAACTGAGTGTCACTTTCCACCTTTCCCCTCTACTAGTAACATCTTGGATCTGTCCAGAAGTAACACATAGAATCATAGAATCAACCAGGTTGAAAGAGACCTCAAAGATCGAGTCTAACCCTAAAAATCCAACATGCAAAAAGTCCAACATGCAAAAACCCACAGTGCAAAAGGGAAAGGGGATGTTGTCACCTCTACCTGATGAGTAGGAGCCAAATGCAGATGCATGGACAGCCAGGAGAAGGGAGAGTAGGCTTGGTTTGTTTCTGCTCTGGCACAAATCTCCTGCATACAGGGGATCAAGAGGCTGAACTGGGATTTTTGGCAGTTCTCTCTGCCCTCCATCCAGTAAGATGCTGGTCACAGGTTGATCTTTAGGCATGTGAGTCCCTTTTGGCTCAGCATCCCAGACTTGAGGAGTGTTTAATGCCACAAGGAGGGACCCGTGGGCACACAGCAGGCTGCTGCCTGCTCCAGCTGCATTCCCACTATTGCTTCATGCCCTTTCCCAAATACTCCCACCCTGCAGCCTCTGCCTGGCTGTGTGGCTGCAGCAGCTCCTGCCCAGGGCACAGCAGCCCCAGTGTGTCCCCCCAGTCCCTGGGGCAGCAGGGCAGGGACACACTGGGCAGCACTGGGACCTGCGGAATGTTCTGCGCCTCCTCCCTGAAGATTAGCCAATATTCCCAGGGCAGGGCAACTCCCCAGGCTTTCTACTTTTTCTTTCCCTTCTATACGTGTTTTTTTCCTTCTCCTAGCTCATTCCAGAGCAGAGCAGCTTTGGATTTCTCCGAGCTTTCCTTTTCTTTCCCCCCCTGGTCTCTGGCCTGCCGCCAGCGCCTCGCAGGGCCGAAGTTTTATCCATAGGGATATGTTTTTCAGCCCAGCCCAGCTGCACACAGACTGATTGCAACTGAATCCCTGCTCCTGGGGCAAGCTTAAGTCGGGCAAGGAAGAGCAGCAGGGGTGTGCTGTGTGTGCCTCTCCTCCAGCTATTCCTGTCAAGATGGATTTATGGCTTTAAAAGGAGTGGGGGGGGAGGAAGGAGAATTGCCTCCAGGAGTCGGAGCTTCCACCACAGCCCAGCAACACACACAGGGGAAGGAGCAGCTGGATCTCAAGGCATGAGCACCCTGGGATCTGGTGGATCTGTGCACGGAATATGACTGATCTTAAGCTTTTCATCTGCCTTCACAGAGCTGAGCTGTTGGATTTAAGGTAGTTTGCCCAGGACCAGACTTTGCTATGTTGGCCAAGGCAGTGCTTTCCCTTGGTCTGTGGCTGTGGTTTGCTGTGGGACAGGACACACCTGAGCCAGGTGAGTGCCTGAAAGGGCAAGGCATTCCCATGCTTCTTTCCCTTCTTTCATGCCTCCTGTTCCTCAGAGCTTCTCCTAAAACCTTTTCAGAATAAAAGCTGAGGTTATATTGCTATAGATATATTTGTATATAGGTTACTTTGCTGGCACAAGGACAAAACAAACAAACCTGTCTAAAACTGCCTATTAGAAAGCAATTTTGTCTTGTTTGTTTCCAGCAGGGAAAAGGAAACTGTTTCAGAAACTTGCAGGGTTTAGTGTGATACTATGGAAAAAACTCCTCCCTGTTACCTGTGTACGGAGGGACAAGTATTAAGACAAGTAAAACCTGTGGTTAACACTATACCTGCCTTGTTCTTTTGCTAATGTCTGTAATTCAACCAGCAGAGTTCCTATTTAATGTGCTTTTTCTTGGATACTGCTCATGGAACATGAATGTGGGTCAGTCTTACAGAACTGACAGTGAGGAAAGGGATGTAGAGGAGAAGAATATCTCGTTCCTGGTCATTTTTCCCACGCTGGGATGGCAGAGCTGATGCAGTTACCTGTGTCCTGCTGTGTGTTCACAAGGTTTTGTAGCTGCAGGGTTACTGCATCTGGTTTCCCTGCACCTGGGAAGTGCAATCCAGTGGGAAAGGAGAAGTGAAGCTCTTGTCTGTCTGGATTAGAGATCCTCAGACAGCAGCTTGGACTGTTGGGGTCTGATTCTGCCTCTGGGACACAGAGCAGACTGTGCCTGTGGCTCAGATCCCTTTACAGGGTGCTGGATCCTGTCCCCCAGTGTCCCAGGCTGGTTCAGGAATGGTGCTGCTGCCTCTGGCATTGTCACAGTGCTCAAAGTCCACCCAGGCAGCACTTATTGCTATTGTTATGCCATTCTGCTGCCCTGGGAGTGCATGTGGTGGTTTCCCAGCCCAGGCTAAAACAATGCTCAGCTCTTCAGGGTATGTGGCAGAGCAAGCCATGGCATTCCAGAGGGATTGTGCCTTGCTCCAGAGGCAAAGGTGTGTGCTGACTTTGGCTGCACAACTGCCAAGCAGCCTGAGAGGAAATGACCCTGCTGGTTGGTGAGGTGTAATCCCAGCAGCTTTGGTGTGGAGCCTCCTCAGCTCTTCCCTAAAGCTGCCCTGAGCAAACTGCCAGCCTGGCAGGGCTGCTGGGCATGGGCTGGTGCTTGTCCAGAGGTTCTGTAGTGCTGTGCCATGGTCACACACCCAGAGGAACTGTTTGAGATGTCAGGATGCATGTCCTTAACTGTTCCCTAGGGACCTGACTGGTTGTGGATGATTGTGGCTTCGTTCTCAGCTGCAGGGGACAAAGGGAGGAAGGTACTGTGTGGTCAGTGGTGCTTCTGTGTGCTCAGGATGGATTAGTTTGTTCAGAGCACTGGGGATTGACTTAGTGCACCAAGGCACAAAGTCAAGGCAGAGCATTGCATGACCTGTTCCTCCACTTTCCTCTTTGGGTCCAGATTCAGATCTCTGTTGCATCAGTATAAGCATTTTATACCTTGGGCTGTGATACATGAATTTAGGTGTGATTACCTGGTTCCTCCGGGTTAGCACCAGCAGAAAATGATGGGGATGTTGCTGTCCTTGTGGGTGCAGAGAGTGAAGAGCAAAGACACCATCCAGACACACTTTGCAAGGAGCCCTTACTGATCTCTGAAGCACCTGCAGTACCTGCATTGCTCCATGCTTCCAGCTCCTGAAACTCCTGCAGAGACCCTAAGAGATGGCAGCACAGCTTCCTTCCTGCTGCTGGCATGTGTCTGAAGGGCCATTTCTCCACCCTCAGCCTGCAATCTGTGGCACAGACCAGCTGGAACCTGCACAGGCAATTTGGGCTTTAGTCACATGAGTATATTTTGCCTGGTGGGGCTCAGCTCCTTATTTAAGCAGGTGATCTGCCCTTGTCCCATGGCACAGGTTGCTCTGATGTGGACTGCAGTGTAAAATCCCTCCTGGATGGCTCAGTGCACACCTTTCTGTCCAGGAGAGGCAGTGTCTTTCTCCTCCTGCCTCTCACTGTGATCCAAAGGGGCCACAGGGCAGCACAGTTTGTATTCCTCAGCCTCCAAACCTTCCTCCACTCCTAGGAGAACTTTTTTTCCCCTGCGTGGCCAAACAGTGAGACAGGAAAACAAATGTGGAATGTCAAACATAGTTAACCAAGACAGGACATGATCTCTTTTGGCTGTTATGATGCTCTCCAAGGTCCAAGCCCCATGTAAATCAGGAGTGTGGCAAGTGTTCAGGTCCCAGCTGAGAGCTCGGGGAGCTCTCAGAGCGGATGTCTCCCAGCAGCATCACAAGTCTGGCCAGCTGTTTGTCTCCTGGAAAAGCCAAGAGGCAGCACTGTGTCTCCATAGTGACATTTTGCTCTCAGTGACCCTTTCTTTGCATGACTGATCTGCATCTATCGAGGTGTGAGAGTAGGGAGGATCCTGCCAGGTGTTCTCTGCCATTCCCTAGACTCACCCAGAGACAGGAACAGCAGCAATAGGAGGTCTGCAGAGTTCTTCCAAAAATCAGACAGCTTGGGAGGCAGGGAAATGCTCATGGATGCCACTTCCCTCTGAATCCCACTGGAAGTGAGAACTGCTGAGCTGGCCTGTTGCCATCCAGCCACTCATCTTTGGGTCCAACACAAGGAAACTGCTTGAAAACAGCAGCTGCTTGCGTAAGGCATGGATTGACTGGGCCCAGAGCCCCAGCAGCCCCACCTCTGGCACAGCTGGCATGTTTGTGTTGGATGGAGGACAAGGAGCAGCAGGAAAGATGAGGGAATTGAAAGCTTAGACCTGGGGAAGGAGCGTTCAGTCACGTCATGTGTCTTGCCACACTCCTGATGCAGAGAGATCCAGTGAATCCATTGGGTTTGGATTCTTTCTGCTGACAAAAGCTGAACTGGTTTCCTTCTTTGCAGAGTGTTAACTGTGATGGCATTTGTCTGCACAGAGGATTAGCCTTCTCCACCCACTGACAGTCCCTCGAGCTCCAAAATACACACCTGCCCACCAGTGTGGGTTCTGGTAACCAGTTGCTGTTAACCACTGCTTTGTGCCCTCCAGGGAAACCTCTGTGGTGTCAGGCTGTGGCTCTTCCTAATTAACACAGCTATTCCCAGCTATGTCTGATGAGGAAAACCAGTGTTTAGATGATGGCAACATTAGGTCCAGATCTCCCAGTGCCCCAGAGCTGCAGGGTACAGCCAAGAACACATGGCTCTTGAGTTTCTTTTGATGTCCTTCTCTTTGGAGCAGGTGTTCCACACTGGTTTGCACCCAGGTGTTCCCTCAGGCAGAGAGTTGTGGCAGCAGTGGATTCTGTTTGCATCTGCTCCCTTGTGGTGAACTCCAAATTCCCCTCCTAGTGCTCGTGCATATGACCTTGTTGTTTACTGCCTGTGAGTAATGTCCTTTGGCCATTGATCCTTGCTCTGCCAGGGCCAGAAGCTTTCCCAGCTGTTTGTTGCAGCATTTGGGAAGCAAGTGACACTTCTCAAACCAGTGAGGAGCAGAGGGGAGGAACAGTGTTGCCAGGATCATTCCCTGTGTCTTCCCAGCCAAGTCTGTGGCTTGTACTTCTCCCAGCACAGAGCCATGACTACCTGTGTTTGCCTTGCTTCATGCAGCCACAAGCACTAAACAAAGCCCTGCTGGAATGCCACTAGGAGACAGGGAGCTCTGGGAACCAGTGTCAGGGACCTGTAGGTCACAGTTTAGCTCTGCTGTGTGATGTGGAGGTGAAATTGCAGTTGCTGTGGGCACACAAGAAAAAAAGGTTCCAGGACTTCAACCTGATTTTCTGCTGAGCTCTGAACACCAGATCACTGGGGATGTGTGTGGCACAGGCTGAGCTGTGTCACATGGGATGGGCTGTGATCCAGGCAGATTTGCAGGTCTCCTGCCTCCTCCTGGCACCTCCAGCTTAGTCAGGGAATCACGGGGTCACAGAATGGTTTGGGTTGGAAGGACCTTATAGCTCATCTCATTCCTCCCCCTGCCATGGGCAGGGACACCTTCCACCAGCCCAGGTTGCTCCAAGCCCCATCTAACCTGGCCTGGAACATTCCCAGGGATGGAGCAGCCACAGCTTCTCTGGGCAACAGAAAAGCACCAGTTGCCTCAGCACCTCCCAGGGAACAATTCCTTCTCAATATCCAATCCAAAACTCCTGTCTGTCAGTTTGAAGCTATTGCCCCTTGTCCAGTCACTGCAGCCTCTTGTAAATAGTCACCTCCAAGTAACTCATGTTCTCCCTTCCTGAAGGCTGAGTCTGATTTCTCCTGTTCCAGGGGACCTGGTGCCTCTGCCATCTCAGCCAGCACCTCCCACTGAATTCTCAGGTTTGGCACAAGATAGCCAAGCTTTCCTAGCAGGTGCCTGTGCAGGTTTGGGGCTCACATCATTCCACTAACACTCTTCCCTCTCTCTTCCCTGCCAGGTCCCCAGCTCCCTATTTCCAATACAGAGGGAGACCTCCTCTTCCTGCTGGACAGCTCTGCCAGCGTCTCCCACTATGAGTTTTCCAGGGTCAAGGAATTCATGTGGGACCTTTTGCAACCTTTCACCTTTGGCCCCAAAGATGTCCAGACCAGCATCATCCACATCAGCACTACACCCACCATGGAGTTCCCCTTTAACCAGCACCTTTCTGGTGGGAGCCTGAAACAAGCAATCCGGAACACGCAGCAGCTCATGGGTGACACCAACACTGGCAAAGCTCTCTCCTTTGCCAAGGAGAAGCTCTTCAGCAGGGAGGCTGGTGCCAGGCCAGATGTGCCCAAGGTGCTGGTTTGGGTGACAGATGGTTTCTCCACTGATGACATCTCTGAACCCATGCAGCTCCTGAAGGACATGGGAGTTACAGTCTTCATCGTCAGCACCGGGCGGTGGAACCTGATGGAGCTCTCTGCAGCTGCCAGTCAACCTCCAGACAAGCACCTGCACTTTGTGGATGTGGATGACCTTCCCATCATCACCAAGGAGCTGAGAGATGGCATCCTAGGTATGGGGGGTAGAGGTGGGGTTGTGGGCACTGGGAGTGTGCAACGGGGCTGAAGATGAGTTGGTTCTGCATTGACACCTGGTCCTGCTGCAGCAGTGGGAGAATCCCCCAAACCAATGGTCCTGCTGACCCACAGCTAACTGAGGTGTTTTGTCCACAATACCACAGGTCCAAGTATAAACCAAGGCTTTTGGGAGGGCTGGGATAAGTATCTTTGCTCCCTCTGAAAGGTCCCATGCCTAAACTGGACAGATTTCCTTCTGCAGAGCTGTTGGTGAGATCAAATTGTGTTTGTGAGTTGTTGGTACTGGAGGCTCTGACAGCATATTATCTGAATTCCTTGAAACCCCACAAGTCTTTGAAATGAGTCATACAGGTCAGGCATCCATACAATCCAAGCAGAGCATGAAAATGCCCCAACCTGCACAGGCTTTTAAGCAAAGGCTTCTCAAACAGGCAATGATTTAACCTCAGTAAGAGGCTGCTGACTCTGAGGACAAAGTGCCTGAGCCCCTTGAGCTGATGGTCATATTCAGGGTGATTTTCCCTAAAATACTGCCTGGCTCTGTACCAGCTGATAGACACAAAATGTGGGGGACACATTGCATCTACACAACGGGATGTGTGTGCCTAGGAAGGAGTTGGTTCTGTCAGCTCCCCCAAACTCTTAGCTAGGGTAGATCTGACTTCTTAAATACACCTTCAAGTGCTGGGACACGCTGAAATATCCAACTGCTGCTCTCTCACAAAGCACAGTTAAGGATGGTGCTTGCTGTCAACATTCAGGCTATAAGAAAGGAATGTTTTTGTTCCATAAATCCCCTGTTGTAACGTGCTCCACATCCAGCAGATCCATAGCCTGACTTGGCTAGCACAGCCCTTGGAAGAACAACCCAGCCCTGACTTGCTGGCCTCAGCAGTCCAAGTGCTACCTCTGTTTTTTGCAGGATTGTGGTGGTTGCTGGGAGAGGGAACAGCCAACAGATCAGGGTTTGCAGCACTCCAGGTTTTTAAAGCATCCACGAAGGGGCTGAGGAGACCCAAAGCCATGATCTGGGCCAGGGGACAGGAGTTTGGAAGCCAAGAGGAGTAAATCCTGCTAATCTGTGTGTTGTCTCTGCAGCCCTCGGATGCTGTCGGGGTGGGACTGCAGAGCTGGTTTTGCCTCAGCCTTCAGCTGCCTCTGGATTTGTTTGGAATGCTGAGAGGGTTACTAGGACTTTGCAGACTTTCCATGGATTTTCTGGAGGTTCTCTCTCCATTGGAAATCCTGATTTCATTCCTTCTTTGATTCTTGCTGTGTGGTTGGTTGGAGCTTTGGTGTGTCCCAGTAACCCTTTCCACAGAATCCTCTGCATGAAGCAATTTCCTTCTCTTTCCAACCACGACCATTTAACAAGCCACACACAGGGACTGAGTTCTGCCTCAGAATCTCACTTCTCTCCTGTGTGAGCATGGGGCAGGATCAACATCCCTTCTAGCACAGGCCCCAAATGCTTTGTGTCTTGGTTTCTAGTCCATCCTAGATCCAGATGGGATAAAATACCATCCCAGAATGAGACATTTCCTGCAGGAAAAGATTGTCTTGAAGATCATAAAATCTGCAAAGGTAATAACTCCTCTGCTGTGTCTGGGGGCAGCATTCTGTGCATCTGCCAGGTCTGAAAGCTGCTAGGTTGGGATTTTAATGGAAGGTGAGATTCCCACACGAATCCAGGGGATGGTGCTTTGAGTGAAATACCAGACATTGGTAACATCACCTGAGTTTGCCTTAATAAAGGCACATATGTCCACTCTTCTCTGCCTGGAGGAGGCAACACCTTTCCTCCTTCTGGCCCCTGGGACAGCAGGAACTGACAGGATCCTTGGCAGGCAGAAATGAGTCCTTTCCAACTCTGGAATGGTCCAGACTGGTTTCATTTTCACTGCTATCTTATCTTCATCTCTTGCTACTGTTAAACACTGAAGCCTTTTGAGAGGCACAAACAAGCTTTGTCAAGAGTTGCTCTCCTCCTTCCACCTCCTTTCCAGGAATGGGATCTTTCTTGCCTGTTCCATAGATTCTCCATCTCCATTTTCCCTGTCAAGCTGCTGCTGCCTCAGGTGGGTTGAGAACCTTCCATGGGTCAGCTCAATCTCTGCAGAGAGAGACTCCTTAGACATGAAATTGTTCCAGTAATGGTGTTAGGTGGAAGGGTGCAAGTCAGGGATTGTGCATGGATGTGTGTGTTCTCTCTTTAGTTCCAGTAATGGTGCTAGGTGGAAGGGTGCAAGTCAGGGACTGTGCATGGATGTGTGTGTTCTCTCTTTTTACCCTTGGCACATGGATCTGACACAACAAATCTGCAGAATGCAGCAGGATGCAGCAGCTTGGTATGTGCCTCTGCCTTTCCTAGTGTGCAGGAAAGGGATTCTAGCTCAGGCTCCTTCCACTGCATCTTATGTATTAATATATAGCCAACATAAGGCATTTGGTGCTCTCCTTCAGGGGAAGGAACCTCCAACCTTGTGAAACCAGGACATTCCTTTGAGGTGACATCAGGTTCTGTGCTAGCACCCACTTGCTCTCCACTCAGCCTCTTGAGCTGATGATTGCTCACTTGTTCCATCCTTTGGCACCATCTTCTGAGCCAGGTTCTGCAGGAGCTTTCCTGCCCAGCAGGCACAACACATCAGCCAGTTTCCCTGGATACCCAGGGCAGCACATTTCTGATCTGAAATGAGGTCTTGGCTAACTTCTGCTGCAGAGAAGGCTTTGAGCATAGACTCCTCTGATGTTCTCACCTGGCACTAGATAGAAACAAGTGACCAGAGGGGCTGATCTCACACCCTGAATGTCCACCCTGGTAATGGAGAAGTGTGTTTCCCCCCCCTCCCAGAATTGGAATCCTTCCCCCATCTATAGCAAAGAAGGGAAATAGAATCTTGAAGCAGAAGTGATGTGTCCCAAATCCCAGCTGCAGTTTCTCAGAGAGGGGAACATGTACCCAGGCTGGAACAGCTTCACCTGCTGCATCTCTTACACCCATCATGGAAGCAGCAGCATCCCTGCCAGTCTGATCCCAACCTTGTCAGAGTTCATGGCATGTCAGCAAACTTGGGCTGCACAATGGTGTTTCAAGTCAGCAGGAGGAGGAAGGAAAGTGTGTCACAATCTGTCTCTGAGTGTTGCTAGACACTGCCTGGGGCTAACACAGGAGATTAACTGATTCCCTCTAGGAACAAGGAGTTGCTAGGAATAACACCATGGGCATCTATTTTCTCGGGTTTATTGCCCTCTTTACACACTCAAGGCATCTGTGACCTGACAACAAGGGGCAGAGCTGTTTGCTGTGGGTTTCCTTCACCCTGTCACTATACCATGCTCAGTTTATTCACAGTGTCCCTGGGCTCTGCCTCCAAGCTCGCTTATTTCCACTCCCTGAGCTTTTGGCAGGACTTTTTGGCACTTTCCTCTGCTCCCTGTTCCTTCGTGGCTTGGCCACTGGTGTTTGTGAGGCTCACAGAAGGGTGCAGTGCCCCAGGACCACTGGTCCTGCCTCCCACTCTCTGCTCCCCCAGGCTCAGAGTGGGTGGAGTGCTGCTGGCTGGCAGTGTGTGGATAGGAGCAGGCAGGGCACAGAGCAGGGAAGTGTTCCTGCCTGCCTGGGACAGCCAAAGAACAGCTCAGAGGAAAAATTGAGGCTGGTTTATT